AATTATCCTCCGTTTCCCGACGATCCGACGTCATTTATCTCCCGTTTTCAGCCAGGGGATTAACACGTCTCGACGTGAGCCGTTCCTCGATCCCGTGGAAGTCGAAATCGATAGATCAAAATCGCTATCGATCGCGCCGATTTTTATTTTTAATTAAATATTTTCGCCAGCGTGACGATTTTTATTTTTGGTAAAATATTTTCGCGAGCGTGACGATTTTTATTTTTGATAAAATATTTTCGCGAGCGTGACGATTTTTATTTTTAATGAAATATTTTCGCCAGCGTGACGATTTTTATTTTTGGTAAAATATTTTCGCGAGCGAGACGATTTTTATTTTTGGTAAAATATTTTTGCGAGCGTGACGCTTTTTATTTTTAATGAAATATTTTCGCCAGCGTGACGATTTTTATTTTTGGTAAAATATTTTCGCGATCCTGACGATTTTTATTCTTGCAGAAATATTTTTGCGAACGTGACGATTTTTATTTTTAATGAAATATTTTCGCCAGCGTGACGATTTTTATTTTTGCAGAAATATTTTCGCGAACGTGACGATTTTTATTTTTAATAAAATATTTTCGCGAGCGTGACGATTTTTATTTTTAATGAAATATTTTCGCCAGCGTGACGATTTTTATTTTTGGTAAAATATTTTCGCGACCGTGACGATATTTATTTTTGATAAAATATTTTCGCGAGCGTGACGATTTTTATTTTTGGTAAAATATTTTCGCGACCGTGACGATTTTTATTTTTGCAAAAATATTTTCGCGAGCGTGACATAATGCGATTTTTTAATTTTTTAATTTTTGTTAATGTTGAGGGTTGTATCGCGAGAGATTAATTACAGGGAGTTTAGAGGTCGTGGTGGCTTATGCGAGGAAGATTCGAGTGATTTAAGTGGAGGATCGGAGATATGGGTGGGCGAGTAAATGTCAATAGGATTGTTAGCGGTATTAAGGAGAGAAGGGGAATTGGTAATTAACAAATGATTAACGAGTGTCTCCGGGAGATGGAAACAGAGATAAAAAGTCGTTTCTCTGGTCAACAATGGGCGGAGAGAATTTTATTCCTTTTTTGAGAGATAGGCATAATAATTGATTAGTGTATCTTGGTTCGATGATGAAAGTGTAATATATAGGTGTTGGTGGTTTGTGTAAAAAGAGTCTTTTTTGAAAGGACTCTATTTTTAATTAGATTGCTGAAGTGTACTAGTCCAAACTGAATAATTGATAAATAATAAATAAAAATATAATAACATAATGATATAACAGAGTTCTGATTATCCGGCATATTTGTCTTTGGCAACTGTCGCGAATTATATTTTATGCAAATAGAAAAATTATGGTTGCATATATTTTTCAATGAGATCTATACTAAATAGTTATACTAAATAGTTTATAAACAACGTAAAGAAATTCGTCAACCGAATTTTATTCCATTTTTGAAAGATAGGAATAGTAATTAATTAACGTGCTTTGATTCGATAATTAAAATATAATATACAGATGCTTCTGTAAAAAGACTCCAATCTTGTATTTTTATTTTTAACTAAATTGCAGGAGTAAGCTAGTTCCAAATTAAATAATTAATAAATAATAAATAGAAATATAATAACGTAATAATATAACGGAGTTCTAATTATCCGCCATATTTGTTTGAACCATACCTTTCTTGACAACTATCACGAATTATATTTTATGCAAATAGAAAAATCATGCTTATATATATTTATCAGTGAGATCTATACTAAACAATTAATAAACAATATAAAGAAATTGGTTAATTATTGAAAGTAGCTCTATTTCTCTACTACTCGTCAATTACTATAATTCCTCAACTTGTCCCATGCAGTTGTGCATGGACAGATTGCCTAATGCAGATTGTATTCCAAATCATATTCCTCGTTTCTGCCTCACATATACGTGTAACTATGATCCACTTATCCGCCATATTTGATTATCCGAGGCTGCAGAGTACTCCGGATAATCGGGATTCTATTGTAGTAATATCTGCTCGTTATATTCGAAAATTAATGTTACGAAGCCTGAATACAATGGATCGATAAAATAGATCGTGAATGAAAAATTAATGCGAAATCAGAGGATTCCAATCGTGGAATCGGCGTTCGCCATGGAGGTTCACAAATGTTCGTGGAAAAATGTAGACAGATACACGTGCACGTAATTTCCAAGCCACATGGCGGTTGCAAACGGTTAACAGATTAATCAATTTCACGTCGAAAAGGTTTTTTATCAAAGAATCTACAGAGGCACAGCTGTTGGACGTATCACATCCCGAGCCTCTTTCTTGCCTTTCTCTTCGACGAACATCGTGACACGTTGCGAAACGTGACGTTTTTGCCTGCTACAACTGGATGATCCCCGTTTTTGCGCTCGTTGAAATCTCCAGTTGTGATTTTCCATCGACAGAGCAAGCCGGGAATAAGCGAATTTTCATTTCGATCGCTGCCAACGACGTCGATCATCGTTTACTCACGTTTTTGCTTCGTTGAAGTACGTGATCCCTGTTTTTGCGATCAACGAAGAATCTAATTATCGTTTTTCATCGATAGACTAAGTGAAGAGTAGGCGAATTTCGAATCTAGGAGTTGCTAATGACGTCGATGATTGTCTACTGACGAGTTTGCTTGGTAGAAGTACGTGATCCCCGTTTTTGCGATTAATTAAGACTCTAATTACAATTTTCTATCGGTAGACTATGTCAAGAATAGGCGAATTTTGAATCTAGGAGTTGCTAATGACGTCGATAATTGTCTACTGACGAGTTTGCTTGGTAGAAATATGTGATCCCCGTTTTTGCGATTAATTAAGACTCTAATTACCATTTTCTATCGGTAGACTATGTCAAGAATAGGCGAATTTTGAATCTAGGAGTTGCTAATGACGTCGATAATTGTCTACTGACGAGTTTGCTTGGTAGAAATATGTGATCCCCGTTTTTGCGATTAATTAAGACTCTAATTACCATTTTCTATCGGTAGACTATGTCAAGAATAGGCGAATTTTGAATCTAGGAGTTGCTAATGACGTCGATGATTGTCTACTGACGATTTTGCTTGGTAAAAGTACGTGATCCCTGTTTTTGCGATTAATTAAGACTCTAATTACCATTTTTCATCGATAAACCGAATCAAGAATACGCAAATTTTGAATCTAGGAGTTGCTAATGACGTCGATGATTGTCTACTGACGATTTTGCTTGGTAGAAGTACGTGATCCCTGTTTTTGCGATTAATTAAGACTCTAATTATAATTTTCTATCGATAGACTAAGTCAAGAATAGGCGAATTTTGGATCTAGGATTTGTTAATGACGTCGATGATTGTCTACTAATGATTGTGCCTGGTAGGAGTACATGATCCCTGTTTTTTGCGATTAATTAGGACTCTAATTACAATTTTCTGTCGATAGACTAAGTCAAGAATAGACGAATTTTTATTCTAGAAATTTCCAATGACGTCGATGATCATCTACCGACGTTTTTGCTTGGTACAATTGGTTGATCTCCATTTTCGCGATCATTAAAGTCTCCAATTATAATTTTCCATTGACAGACCATGTCGAGAATAGGCGAATTTTGATTTCTATAGTTGACGAGGAACTGAGATCAGTGACGACCCGTTCCGAAACGATCGATGATCGTTTGATGACGTTGAAGAAAACAGATGCGAGGTGGGAGGTGGTCGTTCGGATGCGACAGTGGATGAGGAATGATCTCGTAGGAGATTTCATTTGAAAGGGAGCCAGATCTTGCACGACGCGGTCTGATTCGTGGCGTAACTCGTGTCCGTCTTTAATTGCTGTCGCTGAATAGCTTCGATGGCACGTCATTGTTATTACGAAACGGAGTGTTTGTCGGATGGTTGCTCTGATGGCTGGAATTCGCTGGATTTCGAAATCGCTCGTGATGCTACGTGGGGATTACAGAGCTCTCGATGTCTTTTTAGGAATCGAAGAGTGGGCAAAGGTATATACTTCTTCGAGTCTGATTATGCGGCATGGAATAACAGAGTAGCATGATTTCCAACGTCGTTCGACATTGTGCAATATCATTTGCTGGAACAGATGATTCGATTTATGAATCACGTTATTAGCATCGGCACTTTAGCTCTAGCCATAATTCCTCAACGTATTCCAGGGTTTCTCATCATAATTCTGTTAAATTGTATCGAGCTATAAACGAGTAATTACATGTACATATCTGTTCCCATAGTGTTCAATTGTTATTACACGTTTGTAGTATGTTTGGATCTATTTTACAAGTCGGTAGTTCTAATATTTTAGTCCCAAAACTCGCGCAAGATTTGAATTTCGCGCCATTTGTGGGGTACAGTGTTGCCAACGAAAAAGAAAGACAGCGTGACAGTTATCAGTTCAGGGTTATTGAAAATGTAACGAAAAACACGTTTTCATTGTTCAATAATATTTACAACTTTTAATTAACCCTTTCACTACGAAAGACGTATATATTCGTCCTCACAAATTTATCAATATATACGAAAGACTTAAATACACGCTTCCTACATTTTTCTTACTCCATCACTTTTGCTATTTTACCAATTGATTTCACCTGAAATATAACATAGCAATTGAATATCGGCAATTGTTTCAATATTGTTCTGTCAGTTGTCAAATATCGCGTCGTCTGTATTGATCATTCTCTTCGAGAATGTACCGCAGTCAAAGGGTTAAAAACCTGTCTTTTTTACTGAAATTACTTCTTGCATAAATTTGGGACACCCAGTAGATAATTCGTTCCAAAAATATTAGTCACAATTCTCTGTATACCCTCTCCTCGATTCTCCAAAAAGGACACTAAGTTGATTAAAATATCCTGTAGAACACCCGAAGAGCCAACCCACTGATTTTTCCACCCCCTTAGAGAATCAACCCCTTAAAGAAAAATCGGTGAAAGCATTTTAAACCGAAAGCAAAGCACAGCGTTTCGATTTAACCTTCCGTCGTTTGTTGCAGAGTGGAAAGCTCAGCGTTGCAGTTGGTGTACCCGCTGGATTCTCGTCCGGTGCAGCTAATCTTCCGGGGGTTGCAGGTGGTCAAGGAGAAACGAGCCCTCCTGCGAGATGTCTCGGGCGTCGTTAAACCCGGCGAACTTTTGGCCGTCATGGGCCCTTCAGGTAACACGACCCTCGCGAAATTAAGAATCCTCCTCAGCCCTCTCTTCATCCCTGGTAATCCCTCAATCTCGAGACAGATTGCCTGCTCGTACAGTCGCTTTCCCTTCCCCTGCTATGGCAGAATTGATTTAAAGATTGATCGAGAGATAAAGTACCCAGTCGAAGACCTCGAGCTGGCTGTGTCTTATTTCAGGAGAATTGCTCGAGTTTCGTCGTGGAATTTTTACAGGTTAAATGGCATTTAGTCTAAATCGCAAAAGGAACACGAGAAATTTATGTTAAAAATAGAAAATTCGTGATTAATATTCAGAGCGTTTTATAAATTATGATAAAAAGGGTACCATGTTATTCTACGTGAAAAACTGAGTCAAAAATGTGGAATAAAATTTTTTCCTAGGAGGCTCCGTTTTCGGGGAAATCCAGTTCGAATATTCACTTGGTGGGCGCACTCTGTATCCCCACCACTCGACGGATTTTACCCTAAATTGATATTTCTACGCGTATTTGAGTTTACTCTTATATTAAGTTTTCTCTTTTATCTTGTTTATATCTTATTCTTATCTGCAGCAATCAGTGTTTCTCAATCCCCCACCACGATTAAACACTTCGAGCGCAACCCAACAAATATTTATGATCAATTTCCTCCAAAATGGAGTGTCGTAGGAAAAAATTCCTCTGCACATTTTCCCCTTATTTTTTCGCGTAGAATCACCCTGTACCAATTTTTATACGAAAACCATGCGAATATATCTTTTTTTCTCTATTATACACCAAAAAGCGCTGTATTAAAAATAGAAAATTCGTGATTAATATTCAGAGCGTTTTATAAATTATGATAAAAAGAGTACCATGTTATTCTACGTGAAAAACTGAGTTAAAAATGTGGGATAAAATTTTTTCCTAGGAGGCTCCGTTCTCGGGGAAATCCAGTTCGAATATTCACTTGGTGGGCGCACTCTGTATCCCCATCACTCGACGGATTTTACCCTAAATTGATATTTCCACGCGTATTTCAGTTTACTCTTATATTAAGTTAACTCTTTTATCTTGTTTACATCTTATTCTTATCTGCAGCAATCAGTGTTTCTCAATCCCCCACCACGATTACACACTTCGAGCGCAACCCAACAAATATTTACGATCAATTTCCTCCAAAATGGAGCGTCGTAGGAAAAAATTTCTCTGTACATTTTCCCCTTATTTTTTCGCGTAGAATCACCCTGTACCAATTTTTATACGAAAAACATGCGAATATATCTTTTTTTCTCTATTATACCCCAAAAAGCGCTGTATTAAATATATTTCATGGAAACAGATCCAAAACCCGACCCAACCAGAGCATTATATAATCGTTAATACGCGAGAATAGATCGTGAAAGTTGTTTGCTTTTTACGCGAAACGAGATAATGAAAAGCAAACGAGCCGCGTGGAAGAAGCTGGTGCAAGAATTAATCCGAGGCACACGCTATCCCCTTTCTTTTCGAGGAACAGGCTGGCAGGGTAGGAAACGTGGCCGATGACGCGACTTATTTATCGCGACGTGGAACGATCATCCGAATTTTTGGACCGGAGCCCTCGTCCGCCCTCGTTTAGGCTAATTGACCGTTTCGTCGCGATTCTCGCGAACGCTGATGACCCGATCGGGTTTCCGTGGCCCTCTATTGGACAATTTCGCGGCAGTTTGCGTCATTCGTTTATTCCGCGGCCTCCTCCGCTACCGACGCTCGCGCTCGTAACTCGCGCCCGCCCCTCGCGGACTATTTGGGAACACGCGGCGCGCTACCGTTTCGCAACGTTCGTCAACGATGACTTTAGCTACGGAGGACTTTAGCTTGGCGGATGGAAGGTCGGAATTAAGGATCGGATTGTCGCGGTTTGGTAATTGGCGTAATGGATGTTTTTTAGGCTCGGCTTGGGACGCTCTCGGCGTGTGTTGTTGCTGGACTGATGTGGCCCAGTTGTGAAATATTTCGCACGTTAAGTATTAAGGAATTTGATAGTGCGTTTTGTATATTTTGTACCAGAATGGAGAAAGTGGCCTATTGGTTTGTTATTTTGACAAGAATAAGAGGTACAGTCGATTCCTTTGAATTCTTAGAACATTTTCGCAATTTGTAATTCATGTGCAAGAGTCGATTAAAATTCAATTTTCAATTCATAGTTTTTCATATTTGAAACATATTATAGTCGGGTAAGAAGTTAGGTAGCTTAGATCAATTTTTAAGAAGTATTAAGTAAATTTTTACACCTCTGAACTTAAAATTCTAGTGATTTAATAGAGTCATTGGCGAAAGTTGGGAAACAAAATGGTCGCCTCGATGATATTGCAGAAAATAATTTTACAAATATTTTCCTGAATATTTTCCTTTTAAAATGGTGGCAATTAATATTTGGCAATCGAAGTTTTTAACTATTTTGTAATTTATGTAATATTCGAAGAACGAAATAGAATTTAGCAATGGTAAATTGGCCATAAATATTAACGAAGTAATTCGAGATGGGAAAGTTTGTCAGTGATTCTTTTCGCTTTAGTGCCGGCGATAAATAGTTACAGCCACAAACTGCAGACGGTCTTGAGTGTGCGACATCAATGGTGTCATTTTGGCATCAATCGGGACCGTCGTTAGATACGATAATTTACGACCTTGCTATATTGCTACGAACCAACTATACCTCGAGACATGCTCGAAGAATTTCTTAAGGCTACGATATTCTTGGAACTGAAAGAATTTTTGATACACGTATCGCGCAATTTTTATATAAAATAATTTCGCGTGAAAGAAATATATAGACATCTGAACATTTTATGTAATCATTATCGAATTATCACTCAGTCATTTGACAGGATAATTTGTAATACAGTAATTCATAGAGGAATCTTTACTGCACACTAATGTACATTAATTAATACAATACCCCATAAATGGTACCTTTATTACCAAATATCACTCGTAATCAATCATTAAAACAGATCCACAAATGTATTCTGTAGTATAGAAATATAATAATTCATAACTTGAATAATTAATACCTTTAATCAGATTCACTTAAAATCTCTAATAACAACCATTATGCACCACTGACATAACAATCCATACCTTGGAATTATGGTACCAAATTATGGTACTCATTCGTCAAAACATATCTACATTTACCTCAACATAACCTTCCGTTAAATTGCTTAAAAATCTTTACTAAAAACCTAACAAAGTGTGCACTAATATAACAATCTATATTTTAAAACAGTGGTACCAAATATTCGCTCACAAAATTAAATAAATCATCGAAAATTTTCATCAAAAATCGGTGTAATATCGTCTTTAATCTCGCATGAGTTCGCATGAGAAATGATAAATTCAAATTCACTCAAAATTTTTAATAACAACCAATATGCACCACTGGCATAACAATCCATACCTTGGAATTATGGTACCAAATTATGGTACTCATTCGTCAAAACATATCTACATTTACCTCAACATAACCTTCCGTTAAATTGCTTAAAAATCTTTACTAAAAACCTAACAAAGTGTGCACTAATATAACAATCTATATTTTAAAACAGTGGTACCAAATATTCGTTCACAAAATTAAATAAATCATCGAAAATGTTCGTCAAAAATCGGTGTAATATCGTCTTTAATCTCGCATGAGTTCGCATGAGAAATGATAAATTCAAATTCACTCAAAATTTTTAATAACAACCAATATGCACCACTGGCATAACAATCCATACCTTGGAATTATGGTACCAAATTATGGTACTCATTCGTCAAAACATATCTACATTTACCTCAACATAACCTTCCGTTAAATTGCTTAAAAATCTTTACTAAAAACCTAACAAAGTGTGCACTAATATAACAATCTATATTTTAAAACAGTGGTACCAAATATTCGTTCACAAAATTAAATAAATCATCGAAAATGTTCGTCAAAAATCGGTGTAATATCGTCTTTAATCTCGCATGAGTTCGCATGAGAAATGATAAATTGAACGATAGAAATTCAAAGCGATTCTGCGGCGAGAAGGTAGACGTATGCCGAAGGGCCTGAGAGCGAGTAGTACCGAGAACGGACGCCAGAGGTCTCGCCTTTGTTCGCGCGCGACGTATCGAATGGTGCCCGATCGCTATCCCTAGGGTAAATTCACGACTGCGCGCAAGGTTCTTCTATGTTTAACCTCGCGAGGCACGGCGCGTATCGCGGCGGTAACGAGCGATCCGCTCGCGCGATATTTATCGCGAGATTCGTCGTTCTCCCCTTGATATTCGTTTAACAAGCCGCGAGAGCGCGCGCGAGGGGCACGCGAGTACAAATCATCCGTGCTCCCCGGCCGTTTCACGGTTCCGTCGTTAACGTCGCCGGTCGAACCGAACGGGCGAGCGTGCCGTTCGTATTTGCACGTCCGCCGTCGTATATCTTGCCCTGAAACGACGACGATTCTAGGAATAAAATGTACTATTCCGGCCCCTGAGACGCCGGGTCTCGAGACTGCTTCTCAATGGAGGTGGAACTGCTCGGGGCTTCGGGTTGCGTGTACGTCGCCATCTTGCTTTTTGCTTGTGCTCCTCGGACTCCCTTGCGGATTTAGGAATTTCTTTCCTTCTTTTATTCTTGTTTCTTTAATTTTATCTTGTTTTTATTTTTATTTCTTTAATTTTGTTTCATTTTTATTTTTATTTTTATTTCTTTATTTTGTTTCATTTTTATTTTTATTTCTTTAATTTCGTCTTGCCTTCATCCTTGTTTCTTTATTTTTGTTATTTTTATTTGCATCGTTTCTTTTCATTTTTATTTCTTTAATTTTGTTTCATTTTTATTTTTATTTCTTTATTTTGTTTCATTTTTATTTTTATTTCTTTAATTTCGTCTTGCCTTCATCCTTGTTTCTTTATTTTTATGTTATTTTTATTTGTATCATTTCTTTTTATTTTTGTTACTTTAATTTTATCTTGTTTTTATTTTTAGTTCTTTAATTTTGTTTCATTTTTATTTTTATTTCTTTATTTTGTTTCATTTTTATTTTTATTTCTCTAATTTCGTCTTGCCTTCATCCTTGTTTCTTTATTTTTATGTTATTTTTATTTGCATCGCTTCTTTTTATTTTTGTTTCTTTAATTTTATCTTGTTTTTATTTTTAGTTCTTTAATTTTGTTTCATTTTTATTTTTGTTTCTTTAATTCTATGTTGTTTTAATACCTGTTTCTTTAATTTTATTTTAATTATGATTGTTGTTTGAAGTTCTTAGGTTATAAGTAGATGGTGGTTTATGTTAGGTTTGAGAATTAGGAGACCAATTATTGCAGAAGATATGGGTTATTTTTCGTGATAGTGAAGTTGAATATTCAAAATAGAAATTGTCGAATTTTTGAGAATTTTTTAATATTATATTGGAAAGTGTGGCAAATAGAACAAGGTACCCAAGGTACAATGGGTATTTAACCCCCTGTAATTTTACATAATTTAAATATCTGCATCCTTATAAAAACTATTTCCTATTTTTATATTCCAGGGAATTTTATTTCATTTTCTAGTAGAATTATTTTACAAAGAATTTTATAAAAATTCTTCTGCTCCTAGAAACACTTTAAAATTTATATTAAAATCTTAGGCTGCTCAATGAACACCTCAAATTAATTCTAATAAATCTGCCTATAAATCGTGATCCATGAAACATATATCACACGCAACATCTGCCAACCTATAATCCATTCCCAGCTCAGGAAATTCTTTCACCATTAACCGAACATTATCGAAGCAAACTTACTTACCATAAATTCGGTCGATCTCAACAGGTTGCGGCAAAACGACGTTACTGAACTGCCTGTCGGGCCGCGTGGGCCTGGACGGGGGTGAAATCTGGCTGAATCGTGAAAGGCTGACAAAAAGATGGCGCAGAAGAATCTGCTACGTGCAACAGCAAGACGTTTTCTTTCCCGATCTCACGTTGCGGCAGACCCTCGAGGTGAGTCTTCTTTTTCTCTCTGCAAAACCACGTTTCACGTTTTAATTACCACGATACTTTCACGGGGAATAAATCGATCCGCCGAATATATCATGAATTCGAAAAATATGCAAAATAACCGCTCCCCCTGCTGCCCCCTGCCCCGAAAAAAGGGTAAAAACAAAAGAAACGAATTTATCGATTCGATCGATCAAAAGCTATTACTTTTTGTCCCGCTTTCGTGTATTTCCCCATAGAGGATAAATACGTCTATCGATACACAGTTGAGACCGTTTCGTCGGGGATAATAAGAGAATCGAAGAGAAAGGAAGAACGTTATATTTATGTATCGTGCCCGCGACGAAATCCTTTCTCGTAAAACGAGCAATTTCCATAAAACCGATCTCATCGAATGGCAAAAGTCTAAATATTTCCCTCGGCATAATAACGTAGCGGACCGATAAATTCCTACGATCACTCCATCGGCCGATAAAACCGATGAAACGGGTCCCCATTAAACGGGGCCGATCCCCGTCATAAAACCCATTGAATTTGCATCTATGGACACCGTTGCGGAAAAAAGGCGGACCCTTTCTTCTCCTATCATCGCGTCGATGATAGGTGAAACAATGGTTGGTGGAAAAAATTCCTGCTCCTCCAGGAACCTATGGTTCCCCTGGAAAATCCGTCAAACTTCAACGAATTCGTTTGCTAAAATTTTGCAGGGTTCAGGATTACATAAATCTCCGTTATCGGGTGTTCCTTGGCGACCATCGCGAATTTATCATAATGATAAATTAGCCCTCTGCACTGGACGATTTTTTCGTTTGAGAAAAATAATAATTCGTTAGCGAAATATAATAATAAAATAATAATTCGTTAGAGAAATATAATAATAAAATAATACTCCGTTAGAGAAATATAATAATAAAATAATAATTCGCTAGAGAAAAGTAATAATAATTAAGTAAACTTTCTGCCATAAAGTGGACGATATTTCTAAAACGGTAAATTAGAAATCATATGCAAATTAAGACGTAGAATATTATATGTAATATTATTTTACTTGGGTATTCCAGTGATCGTTGGGTAATTTCAAATTTAATATATTAATTAACATCGATCTATAGAATCTGATTAAATGGCGACTGAGAGTCAGCTCTTAAGTGCAAAGGGTTAATCTCGAATAATTTCATTTTCCCTAATAAGATCCCAAGCAGCGCGCATTTAACATGCTATTTCGATACTTTAGATGAAAATCATCGAGTATTATTCGGTATTAGGAAAGAAGGAGATATTCGATCTCCATTTGGATAATTATTAAAATCCCTCTAACCCTAATCAGCGTGATATTTCACGTCGAGTAACTCCATTAACATAACACTTAACCCCCCCTTTCCATTGGAAAATTCAATTACACACTGCGAATGTTATAAACACTCCAAATTTAAATTTCCTATTATAGCTGTGTAATTTTTACTTGATCGAGGAATTAACCCTTTCGCAAAGGGTGTCGTATATATACGACAGTCACTTGGTACATCACAACGGATGACGTCGTATATATACGACAGTCACTTGGTACATCACAACGGATGACGTCGTATATATACGACAGTCACTTGGTACATCACAACGGATGACGTCGTATATATACGACAGTCACTTGGTACATCACAACGGATGACGTCGTATATATACGACAGTCACTTGGTACATCACAACGGATGACGTCGTATATATACGACAGTCACTTGGTACATCACAACGGATGACGTCGTACATATACGACAGTCACTTGATACATCACAACGGATGACGTCGTATATATACGACAGTCACTTGGTACATCACAACGGATGACGTCGTATATATACGACAGTCACTTGGTACATCACAACGGATGACGTCGTATATATACGACAGTCACTTGGTACATCACAACGGATGACGTCGTATATATACGACAGTCACTTGGTACATCACAACGGATGACGTCGTATATATACGACAGTCACTTGGTACATCACAACGGATGACGTCGTATATATACGACAATCATTTATTGGTTTACTGCGACAAATCATAATTATAATACTGTTTTAGTGCAATAACGAACTCAAAATGAAGCTAGTACAGGCATTAGGCAACGCAGAAAATGGTGGCAAAGTATGGTGTTCAATTGCGCCATCGCGAAAGGCGACATAGTATGGTCAATTGCAACGTCATGAAAAATGGCGAAGTATTGTACAGGTGCATCGTCGCGAAAAGTTAGGTTAGGTTATTCATTCTCCATTTGGATAATTATTAAAATCCCACTAACCCTGAACAGCATAATAATTCTCGAGAACATCGAATAACTCCATTAACCTAACACCTAACCCCACTTTCCCTTGGAAAAATTCAATTACACACTGCGAATGTTACAAACACTCGAAATTTAAATTTCCTATTATAGCTGTGTAATTTTTACTTGGTCGAGGAATTAAAATCTCGCGTCATCCCTCGGTAATTAATTTTCCTCCCCGTATATCCTTCTCCTTGCGTAACAAACGCGACGATCACAACGAGAAAGGAAATAATCAACGAGCAGCAATTACGAAACGCTCGGGGCTCGGGGAGAAAAAGGAGGAAGAAATAAAGTAAAACGCAGGGAACGGTTCGACGCCACGGAAAGCCATAAATCCGGTATATTTACGGACGAGACGCTCAAGTAGAAGCGGGCTGGCATAGTCAGACGCGCTAGGCAAGATCAGCCGATTACGGGGGCGGCTGGCGAAATAGGAAGCGGCTGATTCTAGCCCGCGGCGTTTCCTCGTTTTCCGGGAAAATCGGCCGCGGCGTGCTTGCCAAGTTCCGCGGGAAATTTATGAAGGCTCGCGACAGAAAATTAGGAGGACACCTCGCGTTCGGGATCGCGCGGAATGCGGGCCAGGAGCCAAAGGCAACCGGCCGCCGTTGCGTTTTCGCGGATTTAACACTAGCATGGCACGAACGCCCATTAACGAATTGGCGAAATTCATCATTTCGCGCCGTCCCGGCGATAACCGGTTCCTTGTAAACTTTTCGACTTTGTAGAGAGGAATGCCTTCGCCGGGGTAAAAATAGGGGCACAACGAACTCTTATGCTGGTTGTACGGAAAGAATAGACAGGGGGGACTCAATGGAGACTTTCGTGGCTCTAGTGGTGCAGCACTAGGTTGGTACACTATGTAACTAGGGAATTTTTCACCTCGATGAGGAATTTCGGTGCTTTCCTGTGTGAAGGATGTTAAATTGTGTATATTTTCATTCAAGTATGCCTTGCATGTATAGAAAAATAGTTAATAGTCTTTCAGTCACCAGATTTGAATGCTATAGAACACACATGGGATTATGTAGAATGCCAAATTAGGAAATGTAACATAACCAATAAAGCCTTAAAATTGCTTTAGAAGAGGAATGGAAAAAAATTCCGTCTGATTTTAAAATGACTGTGTCAATGAATTTACACGTTTAAGGAATGCCAAGAAAATTAATTGAATTAATTTCAGACAGGAAAGTGATTCGAAATTGTAACGGATTAAGCTTCGCTGTACTTGCAGGGACTAAAATTCCCTAGGTGCGCGCCTAACCTCTCCTTACAACCGATACTCTCGGATTACACCGTAAATAATTTTCCAAGCACAATGGAAGTGGGCAAAGCGGCAAATAAAATTCCAAAAAATGGCAGGAAAAAGAACAAAAGAAGTTGGTCGTACGTGTCGAAGACACATGCACGCGCGAGCGTACCCACGGGGGACACGCGTGTGCGCGCGTGTGTGTGACACACGAAACGAACCGATCCAACGGGACGTTGGCCTCTCGATTATGGCAAGGGGGACAGGAGTTGCCCCGTGACAAATAGAGGGTGGTAGAAAGAGAAAAAGAGAGACGGAGAGAGAGTTGTGGTGACGTCATAACTCGGTCAGTGAACCGTCGAGCGCGTGTCTTACGTGTTTCAAAAACATTCGGCGCCGTCTCCCTACGTGCATAATACGCTAAAGCGACCGCTCTTATCGTCTCTCTCCCTCTCTCTCGGCTCTCCTTTCCCGCCGCGTCGCGTTGTTTTCTTTCACGGGCTCGTATTTCTTCTTCGTGCCTTTCTCTCACCGTCGCGGCGCCCCTGTCGCCGCGCACTTATGGAGGCGCCTTTACGCCAACTTTCGACGTTTCTTCTCGCTGGTCGTCGTTCTCCCTTTTTCGCTCCTTCCCCGCCTACCCCTCCACGCCGCGCCGTTTTCATTCGCGACGCTTCGCCCCGATTTTCAGTTTCTCAGCCTCGCCGGCTTTTCATTTCTCTCGCCTGCACCGCTGCATTGTTCTCCCCGTTTCCGTTCACGTTTTTTGCTCGGCCGCCAGTTTCTTAACCGTTAAGCGGGTTTCCTTACGTAGCCGCGTCTCAGTTTCCTCCTCCGCTTCACTGGCCACATCGGGTTCTCCCCGACGCTTTCGTTTCCAGACGTCCACTCGTTATCATTCCTCGTTACCTTCCTTCCACGCCTTTCCATGTTTCCTTTCCGATTATTCTTCCTCGTAATTCGAAATATTCAATCTCCACCGTGTTCGAAGTAATTCTGAAAGAATAGTCGATTATATTAAACATTCCTTTGGAACGAAGCATACGTGAATATTCGAATTTCATTACTAGGATTTATCGATGACAAGCGAGTCGTAAGATTCATCGGAAGCCGATGTGGAAACAAATGGACGCGGCACGATGGATGTTTCGATATTTCTTCACAGATGTCATTAGCGCTGTTTCATAAATCCCGCCAATCTGTCCCAGTTCGCCGCGTTATGTGTAACACTGCAAATGAGTCAACGCGAATGGGTTATATCAGACGTATAACGAAATATCCAATTTTATATACAAAATGCGATTAATTATACGTACTATTGTGCCTGCGAGAATTTCGTTTTCAAGGTCAGACGGTGACATTCCTACGAGCCTCGTTTTTGATCGTTCTTTTTTTTTGAGGTTATCTTCGATTACAGTTGCTGGTAACAGTGAAAGGGTTAAACGACCTAAATCATAAATGTCTCTGCCATTATATTTCCCACCTACCGATCTAAATGTCCCGTTGTTCTCCTGCCACGAGCCTGTCGCTTTTTCGTCCAATCGATATTCATCGAATCGATACGGTACATTCGATGAAAGGCCGTTCCGCGAATCGTCTTGTCGCCTCACTTTCCCTTTTCTCCGCGTCGACCGTGATGGCCGGCACGTCGTCGTCGTCCAGTGGAAGAAGCCAGCCGGCGGAGATGACGTTCACGGTCGTGCTCCGTTCTGGAGCAGTCCAGTTTCCTGCTGGCCGAGAGACGACCGCTATACCCGCAGCGAAATATCGTCGGCCGCCACTTTCTCTCTCCGCATAACGGATCCTCTTGTGTAACGGACTCCCGGCCGTCGAGAAAATGGCACGTCCGTCCGCGTTGGCCGCCGCGGCCAAGGCAGGGTGTGTCGACCGCGGCGAGATCCACCTTAAGCCGCGTGCACACGGCCGGGTCGCCGCCGCGACATGCCAAGTCCGACATCGCTGGAAAAACATGGTTTCGTAATTAATTAACGAGACTACGGAGTTGACGACTTTTACGTAGATAAAAACGGTGATATATACGCATATTTACCTCTACTACCACGATTATTACAAGTAGCGTGTAAATAGTTGTAATGTTCTAATGTTAACATAATATTTTCAACGGTACTTTTATCGTCGAGTTTCTAGAGATCGCGTATGTAAAGAATGTAAAAGTAAATTACACGGTTTATATTAGAAACTTAATCGTGTTTCTAGTATTTCGCTTCTATCGTCTTATCTCGTGGAAAGATGGAGTAATATATTCGTACGGTACGTTCGAGTACTCGAGCGAGGCTTAATTTAATTTTCGTATAATCGTCGAGGCATCGATCGAAACGTTTTCGACATTGTATCCGGAATAAGGTGAGCGAGTCTTTGAATCGCGGTCACCGTGTAAATTTCGCGGGCAAGAAGGCGCATGCGCGCAGCGCGGGGCCACGAAATCGACGATCGCCGGGAGACGAGAATCGAATTTCCTTTCATTAAGCTGCTTAATGGTTTCGTTCGAGCAGAATTTCAAATAGGCGACTAGGAAACAATGGGCCGTTTAATTGGCTGCTTTACATTGATTTAAGTTAACCAACCGCATCGAAAGCCATTATCAGCCGTTTTATATAGTTGCGCATACTTTCGTCGAATGATTAAGTGGAACTATTAATCAGGCGCATAATAGAATTTTAAAAGCCCACCATTGAGGCGTCCAACGCCTGATTCCAGCCAACTATTCGAGCAGAAATATGAGTCAGCAGGGCCAAGGAACTATCGATTCTACTTATTGTTAGAGCTACGCGGTCGAAAATGGTTCCAAGTACGTTTCCTTCGACTCCTTTCGAATGCGTTTCTATCGCGGTGCAGCGACCTCCTGCGCTGTTTTCTTCTTACTAACACGTGTCTCGGTTTCCTTGCGCCTTCCTCCGATTTCTTTCCACGTGATAACAATAACGATAAAAGTTAACGTAGGAAGAGTCATAAAATTAACGTCGCGTTAATAAAACTGTAATGCATTTGTTTTCTTTCTCATTCCCAAGCTTCTAAAGCTGCAAAATATTCGAAGGCAGACTTCACTCGACGTCCATGCTTCTATTTGCGTGCAGCGCCCTTCTGTGTTGCTTCCTGGTACTAACGATAGCACGTGACTCGATTTACAGTTCCTTTCCTCCTGATAACGATAATGATACAAAATTAATGTAACAAGAATAATAATGGTAACAGAGTGTTAATAATAATGTAAGAATGGAAAGAATTCGTTTTCTCCTGGATTTCCAAGCCCTGCGAGTAACAGAGCGTTCCGAGGGAAATTTCAATCGACGTCCACGCGGAATTCCAGTGGCGCCGCGTTTCCCTTCGGTTCCAACACGGTCGGCCCCGAGTGTCCCCAAATTATCGAATGCACGTGAACGCGTTTCGAGGCGAGGAAAGTCCGTGCACTACGTGCAGAGCCGCGTAAGCCCGATGGTGGCTCGTTCCTAGCAGCGCTGTCGAACGACGAAGGTGTGGCTCGTTATACCGCGGCACCGAGCTTCCTCTTGCGCTGCAAAATTCACAGTTCCTGTATTATGTAACTCGTGTGTTCTTTTTTTAGTTAGCAAAGGTGACAGAGTGATCATTGAACCTCTCTAACTATTTAAATTCTCTCATTATTCAACGTTTACCTACCCGAGGTTTACTTGGACACCTCAAACATTCTCAGACCAAAGTGAACTCCGTTCTCTGAACTTTTGTAAATCTTCCTGCCAAAGCACCTGATCGATACTTAGCTTCTTGTACGAGTCGTTCCTTTGCCAAATCGATTAACCGTAGGAAACGAAAAATAGAAATTTCTTTTAAATATAGAAACCACATTTAACTTAATTCGTTACCTTTTGTATGCACGTACCCAATGAATAATAGACAGTCAGAAACGAACTCCAGTTGACCCAAATCCAACAACCCTCGAAGAATCAAACTCGACAGCCTCCAAACAAACGAAATCTCCAGGGCAAAGCATAAAAATGGCCAAACAAGCGGCTAAAGAAGCGTAAGACGAATCGAGCTGGATCGAAAAATCGTGGTGTCGGTTTCGCAAGGGGCACGTCGGCTGCGCGCGTTATCGTAATTGATTTAACGATCACGATTACGAGCGGACCGGTGCATCCCCGGGGGTACGTGTCAGATGGTAATAATAGACACAAAGTGGCCTGGATGTTACGAAACGGAAATGCACGTCCACGCCGGCGGCTTTTGCTTACATTGCTGTTTAATGCGTAAACGGGGCCGTGGCTCGGGTTAAAAGGCGGCCCAGGCTTTCCGTGAAGTCCATCACCGATACCGATCTTCGCCACGTCGTTCCTATCCGCGTCGCTTCGCGCGCGCCGATTTAATCGTCGATCCCCGTTTTTCTACCCTTTCGTCTCGTTCTTTTTTTCCTCATGCTCTTCTTATTCGTGTGTTTCAGTACCAGGCGAGGCTCAGGCTTCCGGACACGTTCTCGCACTCCCAGAAGATGCAGTGCGTGGATCATATCATCGAGGTCCTCGACCTCGCCGCCTGCCAAGACACCAGTGAGTATAGATCGGACACGATCGACGGATCGTGCCAAGCCCCTGCGGTCGTTCTCTACGTGGCGGCCTGCTTTTGCGCGCCACGCTATCTGGCTTTGTTGTATCTTTTCTTTTTTTTTTTCTTTTTATTTCTTCCCTTCTTCATTCCATCTTTCGACTATGCTCGCCACAAAGACGCGTACATGTGCCGTGTTTTTCAATTTCGTGATCCTTTCTGGGCTGCTTGTATATCGATTTGGCTGATTGCAGAATGAATCCCTAAAAATAAACTGCATTTAAATGTTCGTATTTTACAGACGTATATATACGTCAGAAGAGTACTTAGAATAAAAAGGAAAAATAAAAGATATTTTACCTCGTGTTACGTAATAGGTTGAGTATACGTGTTATAGTTGATTGAATTTTTGTGCCGTAAATAGGAATAAATATTGTATTCGCAGCGATGTAACCACATATGATGTTGTCTATGGAAGATGCTGAAGACCAAGGTACCCAACACTCGAACGATTAATGGTGGATTAATTCTAATTTCTGGATAATAATCTGCAAAAAGAGAAGAATGTTATGATATTTTTATTATTTGTTCCTTGGTTAGGCGAAAGATAGTAAACACTTACCTTACATGTGGGGCGAGGCGCGAATTTTATTTGCTGTTGCAGAAACTTGTAACAATCAGGTCAGGCTATGTGGTAACGACGGTATATTTTTCTTCGATGCATTTAATATTGAATACAGTTAATACTGCTCCAGATACTGATATTCCGAAATTAAATTTGATATATGAATCTCGAACGCTATATTTATGGGCTATATTTAATATTCGGGTTAAAAAGTTTACTCACGTGTTTAAAACATTAAGGCAAAACCCGCCCTCGTGCGATTTCATTCTTACGTAATGGGAACATTTCACAACGACATCTACGTCCCCCAATTTCTATCGGTGTTTATGTAACCTGGGGGGAAATTAAAAATTACGGTAACCACACGTAGCATATTTAATTGCATAACATTGTAACAGATTCAATTGCAACCTACCACTTCGAGCATGTGCTTCAACTTCATCGAAGTACCATGTAAATCAAAATTTACGTAACGAATCGAGTTACTTTGTGTACATACTGCGCCATCTAGACTGGTCGGTCCTGATTACAAAAGAAAAACAAAGCGATTTAGCATGATCCCTGTGACGTATAACCAAACAAATATATGCCTTAAATTGTATACAATTTTCAGATCACTATATTATTACATTCACTATTACGGTCAAACAGTTATTCTATAACGATTATTAGCTACGATATCTCAGATCAAAATAAGCTAACCTATCAATCACAGCACGATTAACCTATAATAGATTCAAACAATTAGTCCACATCGATCATTACTTACCAGATGACGAATTAAGCCAGTCACGAATAATTTAGCCAATCACGATCCTTTTCCTTGAGAATCCATCGATATTCCGATTACGAATAGTCCAACAACGATTCCCTGCAATTGTCCACATTTTTCCGAACATTAAAACTAACCTACGCGAGCGCGCGAAACTGGGGCGAACTCTCGCGTCGCAGTCGTGTAAATTCGTCGTAATTTGTTTATGGACGCCGAACGATGGAGCCAGTGGCGATTTACGACTTCCACCGGTAAGAAACGGGGCGGCGGCAGCACAGTCGCTGGTCGCGTCCGTCGACGTTGTTCCTGCGATTTTGATCGACGATTTCCGCGATCGTAACTCATTCAACCTTTCCTCGTAAAAGCATCGCCGAACCGTTTGTTATCGGGACGCGTTACGGCCCGCTGAATCGCGATCGTTCCGGTGGCTTCGATCGTTATTACGATCCCTCGAAACGCTTTGATGTCGCGGTAGATTTACCTAAAGGCCGATGAAAGTCGCTTCCTCGGAGAAAATCGAACAAACGTTTGACCCGGTTTGACGAATTCGATACCATTGGTCGTCTGTGCTCGATCATCTGAGATACATCTTGGTATATGCTGGAACGACGAGTAGTGTTGGTGAAACGTTAGATCGTGTTGGGTTTACATGACGAAAATGGCGGGAAGGTTCGTGTGGATTTATACGTGAGTTTGTTACTATTTTACTAGAATTCTATATGTGGTTTTTTGAACGCAATATTTTGGGGAATTTGATACAGCTTTATGTAGGTTTCATATAGTTTATTGTTTAGTTTCGTAGAAGTATATTTGCGTTTCGGAAAAAGTATCCGGGCACGGGACAAATATTTATCGATTTTCCATTTATCTAGTAAATTTCATGGAAATAGGCACGTGCATGGTTCACCACAGAAACTAAACGGAACGTGGTAATTAAATATTCCTGAAAGGGGGCCTTGAGATTATAAACAGATATCTCGTAGCAACAAACATAATCCCCTAACAGCAGCGAAATTTCTCGTTCGAGCCACTGAAATTTCCTAGCGTCAATGATCCGCGAAAGATTCAAGATGGCGGACGGGCGAAAAAGCGCGCGAAATTCTGACCCAGAAACGATGCTTACGATTATTTCTAACCCTAATTACGATACAAAATTTGATAAATAGAAAACATAGATCGTTATAATTTTTTATTTAGTCATTTTACCATCGAATTAACCTATTCAATAAAAAGTGAAAAGCAGTGAGAAAGGAGTGGAAAACGTTTCCATTAGTTACTAACTAGTTTTACATAGACTCGAAAGCCCATTTTTTTCTCCCACTTTTTTTATTTTTTCTTTATCTATTTTATTTTGTTTTATTTTACCACGACAGAGATATCGTTTTACCGATACGTTTCACCCTTAATGAGGCACCGATCAATCTCGTTTAATCTGACCTGTAATAATTCTTCCCTCCTTTTCTCTCCCACGGATTCACAGGTTCGTCGCGTTCGTAATTTAATTTGGAGTAGCTTTTATTGGCAACGCGAGCAGACGGACAAAACGATTTTATAATTCAATTGAATTTTCATTCGCTTCCCGCTTGACCATTGATCCGGAATTCTCGCTTGCCATCGAGTTTCGATAATTTTTCGCCGCGAGAAAAATGGAAACAGCGATAATGGCGGGAGTGTCGCTGAGTACCGAAGGGAATTTGATCGTTCATCGTTTTTGTTAATTCGCTCTATTACATCCTCCATTATCTCGGAAACTGTATTCTTAACCTCTGTTGTTGTACATTGCAATTGTTCCTAATGTACACTTCAATTATATATATATGCAAATGGTTTTTAATTTATATCATTTGCGCAGTAGCTGTTAGAATTATCTTTGTCAACTATTGTGGTATAGTTTTAATAATATTTTATTAGAATATTAACAGCAAAGAAAGAAAAATTCAAAGTAGGGAATTAACCCTTTGCACTCGGCGATTTTTTGGTAACAGGAAAATAGTAGTTCTAAGACTTTCTGTCAATAAAACGGTAAATAATAAAAATAAAATAAATAAAAAGCCGTACACAAATTAAGACGTAGAATTAGTTTACTTCACTATTCCACGCACCATTGGGTAATTTTAAATTTGATATATTAATTAACATGGATCGTAAGAATCTCATTAAATGGCGACTGATAGTCACCTCTCGAGTGCATAGGATTAAACATCCAACACCGACAAATATTCGCCTAAAATCCCTCGTGAATGTATAAAATAATTTAAAGAATTATTTTTATTTTACAAATAATAATGTTTCTCAGAATAATTTTTAATTTTTACCATTTTCAAAGAAGCTATCAGAATTTTCTTCAATTATCATCTAATTTTATCGATACTTTATTGGAATATGAAAAGCGAATTAAGAAAAATTCAAAATAGCCAATTAAATATTCAGCTCCATCGAACATTCGTCAAAATTCCCTTACTTTCTCTTTGCACCATTTGCCCGGACAAACGCGAGAAAACCGGCCAGATAAAATCTCGAAATACCACGCTCGTAATTCATCCATCATCCTTCTGTCTTCCTCTCGATATTCCCGCGACTCCGTCAGCATCCGCTCCTCCACCCACGCGTCCAGCGTTCTCCAAACGGTCCTCGAGCTAGCGGTGGGCCGGTCGAGAAAGTTTAAGACACCCTGTACACAACGAGTCGAGGCTCGCAGAATATCGCGCACCTTGCATCCCAATTATTTCGAGCGGCGTATTTTTAACCGGCGCCATCATCGTCGTATCTTTCCGCGCGAATTAAGGTATCCACCTTCGCCGCCGGAAGACCGCGGCTACGTCCGCCAATTAGCGTTAATTAATTGCGAACGCGAGATAATGGCGGCCCGCTCTTGTACGTAGACACCCGTGCGACCGTGTTCTTCAGCCTTTTATCCTTTCTCGTTTTCTCTGTCCCTTTTAGTTATCGGCGATTACACGAAACGGGGACTGTCCGGCGGGGAGAAGAAGAGGACTAGCATAGCCTGCGAGCTGCTCACCAATCCGTCGCTGATGTTGCTCGACGTAAGCTTCCTTACTCATGTTGCTCATTCACGGGTATCTGAGTCGTTCCTACCAATTTTTCCACGAAAAGGGAATTTTTCCTTCGAATTTTTCGCTTTTCTCGCGAAAGCCCATTTCAGGACCCATTAATCTTACTCATTTTTCGATTCAATTTCTTATTTTCCCCTTCTTTTAGTATTATTATTATTAAGGGATTGTAGATTTTTGTTTTATACAATTTGTTATGGGATTCGTTAGTTTCGCGAATGTACGGAGTATTTTATTTTTATAGTAATCTTCCTTGGGAGGATTTTCGATTGGTACGAATTTTTGTTGAAGTTTTATTGTAAAAATGGTCCATTGAATTTTCTATTTTTATTAGAATTTAAGGTTCGTTTAGATCTCTTTGTTATTATCGATATTTATCGAGGTTCTTTAGAATTCGTCACCAATTTTCGGTGAAATCTTTTATTTTTATCAATCTCCTTTGGACTAATTACTTCTGTTAATTCTCCCTGGGATATTTGATTTATTATAGTAGATTTCCCATCGAATTTATGTTTCTCTCTTTCCCATATGATTTTTTGATTTTACGAACAATTTCTTCCAATTTTTGTGAATAATAAATCGGTGAAAATGAATTAAGGACGATGTTTCGGTCCGCGCATTAAAAATTCCCTTGATTCTTGGCTTCGTGTTGTTCTTCGATTAAGTATGAGATAAAACGATAGTTAATCGGCATAATACGATCTTGCAGGAACCAACGAGCGGGCTGGACTCGCATTCGGCACAGGCACTGATTTCACGACTGAAGAAATATGCCGAGCAAGAGGGCAAGAGCATCGTGGTAACAGTGCATCAGCCCAGTTCCAGGATGTTCCACAGTTTCAGCAAGATCCTGCTGTTGAGCCGTGGCCAGGTCGCGTATTATGGCCCCACAGCGAATATCGGCAGGTTTTTCTCCACGATCGGACTCACGTTGCTGCCACACTATAACCCCGCTGATTTTATACGTAAGTAGCCTGAATTGGCGCGGAGAATCGAGTTACGAGCGAAATAAAATCGAATTTCACGATTTCCAAATAGATTCTCCACGAATATGCACAGTCCCCGATCGTTAATTTTATTGTCTGATACATCAAATTAGGGCAAACAGTTCCATAGTAATTACGATTTCCTATAGTCAAGCTAATTATCAAGAATTAACCAACCTAACCTATAAACATCCTCGACAAATGTACACACCTCGATATTGATTCCCGAACATCAAATTAGGACAAAAAGCTCGTAACCATTCGTAATTTCCTTTCCTAAAAGTCAAGCAAGGAAGGTTGACCTAATTACCAATGTATAATTAACGAAGCTAACCTATAAACATCGTGGACAAATCTACGCAGGCCGATATTAATTCGTGAACTTCGAATTGGGACAAAAAGCTCGTAACTATTCGGCATTTCCTTGCCCCTGCAAATCAAATCGAAATTCCAATTACGCAGAGTTAACCTAGAAAGCAGCGTCAACCGCGATAACTCCGAGCTGCCGCCATATTGTTTTGGTGGCGCGCGAAAACCCCGTTCCCTCGCTTTCCGTTCCGGCTCGAAAGCGTGCAATTACCCGAGCAACCTTAACTCGCCAATAACAGTTGAAAGTCGAGGGTTTCACGGTTCCCCGTCTGTTTGTTACAGTGGAGCAAATAAAGGGGCCAGAAGAGGTTCGGGAGCGCATCGTGGCCGCGGCGAGGAACGCGAGACAGGGACCTGACTGCCCGCCGGAACTTCGTCCGGAGTATAATCCCAGCCAACATCCGCTCTGCGACCATCTGATCCATTATCAGGAGCACCACATCAGCCACAACGGTATTGCATAGTGCACGACCGGTCTCATGGTGTGCCGGCCGTGTGCACGCCTAGGGACTATCGCGGATATATCGAGCTGGAATAGTTGTGGTTCCGGTTCAGCCGCTTAAAACTCGAGGATCGGGACTCGTGCGGCTCGACCGGTGTTTGTGGGTCAACGTGTCTGCGAGATTGCAGCGATTTTTCGAATTGGAGGTTCACTTGGCAGAAGGATTCGGATATTCGGAGGATGTACTCTTGCTTCGGATAATGCATGAGTATTCGCTAGGGTTGGGTAGGGTTTCATGAGCTTCTTTATAGTACTTCTTCTGGGAGAACTTTTGATATTCCACTTTGTTGAGTTGGGAATAATTCAGGCAAATGGTAGATTGGATCCATTCTTTGTAATATTACAAACTGAATCTGTAAATCGTCTTACTTCGTTCAAGACAGAACACTAACACGTATGACTCTTTATATAAGAATATGTATACACTGTTTCCTATTGTTACCCAAAGATCTCACGATTGGACTTGTTATATTTGTACATAATTTATTTCAAATGTTTTAAAATGGAGTGTATTGAGACATGGATTCAAATAGCTGCGTCTATTTTAGATAGAGTAGTAGGTTCTAAGTTGCTTGAGTATTCTTCAGGATCTTCTCCTGACTGATTACATTTGTACATTTGTTTCAATTCTTTTTGAAATGAAATTACAATGAAATTGATCAAAAGAGTATATTGAAAAAGGAATTGAAATAGCTGTGTCTGTTTTAGGTAGTGTAGTAGATTCTAGGTTATTTTAGTCTCCTTCAGGATCTTCTCCAATCTTTATAATAACGTGTTCAACTATCAATTGTATGATGAGCAACAAACAAAAGAAAGTGTATTAAAATATCCGACTTAAAAAAGATAAGTACAATGTAGTTAAAAGAAAACTGAAGGAAGAAAATTCTCGAGGTCTCCAAAATGGCTGCAGACACGTGACCCATAGCAGCCGCCATGTTGCATTCGTCGCAAACCCGCATGGGGAGATTACCTCTATCTCGTTCGTCACGGAATAATTAAAATCATCCTTAGAAAAAATGATTGGAATATGAACAGACTACAATTCTTGGTATTTAATCACGGTTCACGTGAAACCCTCGTGGGTCGTCAAAATGGCCGACTCGTGGCCCATCGCGAGCGCCATGTTCACCGCGTGCCTAATTCGATCTCCTTGCGAATTGGGATCGTTCGCCAGGTTTATTCGCGATATAACTTCTCCCGTTCTACACGGGATAGGCACGTGTTCTCTCTAAGCTCTGTTCTCCGATGAATGCGGATCATTGTAGTCGGTAATCGTTGCTCGAGATACGGGTATCTCGCTCGGCCGAATATTTCCTCCGGCGTCGATTGATTAACGGTTTATAAATGGACTCTCGAGCAACAACACGGGGATTTTTCGCTACGGAGAAGTGTGTCGGGCCGAGGGGATGATTCTTTCGTTTCCCCCTTCGCGAGCAATCAAAGGTCGCTCGATCGCCGGGAGGAACACTGCTAACGCTGCGTACGATTCTGCTCTTTGCACATCGATTACTATCGCACTTTCCAAGGAAACTCTTTTTTTCCGTTACCTCTGCTACGTTCCATCCTTGACCCGAGTCTCGAGAGCTGCTCGAATTTCACGTTTCGGTTTGAACCGTTAACTGGGTCGTTCGGAAATCGGTCAGAGACCGTTTTAACCGGGAGACTGAAAATTCTGCTGCTTGAAAATTTATACGGGGTATAATTCACCTTGGGAATGCAAATATTATGACGTATTAAATTCGGCAGGTCTGTGGGTAAATAATTACTAAGATTTCGGGATTCGTTATGCAGGATTAGTCGAGCTCTCGCAAGTTCAGTTTCAGCCCTCCAGTGTTTGATGAAATTTGGTATAATGATCACGTTGTACGAGCCAAAATGGCGAGATCTTTGATGATCCTAATTAGATCCTTCACGCGGAACAGAGAAAGAGTTAATACGAATTTTAGGTCCTTTATTAATACTAAACGTACCGGTACTGTACACACACCTATTCTTACCATGAGACGTCAGATGACCCATACATGGTACACAAGGTATGCAAAGAATTTTTCTCGGTAAAAAATAAGTTAAAGCAAAAACGAAAAGCGAGAAATTAAATAATCAGACGAATGAAGAAAATAACAATAATAACAATGAATAACAATGAATAACGATTTATAGTATAAATTTTGAAAGGTGTCGTTTGACACTGCTTGGTACGTTTAGCGTTAATTTGTATAAATATCGGTATTTTAATAGTTACTTGCAAAATTTACCTGGAGAAAAAGGATAGAACGTACCACACCTGTGTTTCTCTCCTCTTCTAACTTTAATACAGCCTTCTTATGCGTTCAACGAGAATAAGTACGGTAGTTCACTCCTCTTTTTCCATGCCTCTCGATTTTTTCCTATTTCTTTCTTTTCTTGCGCGACGTTTCGAGACGGTAAAGTTTGAAAGAGGAACGAAGCTTCTCTAGCCCTTTCATTGTGTCGATGATTTACAGTGAAGGAAGACGAAGGTCGTACGCTGTGGTTGGACACACAAAGCCATGCCAGCAGCAGTGCCAGTTCTGCGGACGACGACTATGCCTGGCAGTGGCCCACCAGTTTCTGGTCGCAATTCAAAGTGAGTACCATTTTGCAGACGTTTCCAGCGGTTGCACGTTGAAACTGCAGTACGCTGACTATTTGCACCGTATGTGCCTCCATGTACACGTTCAGAAATTCGTCCCTCTCTGTCTCGAATTATCTCCAGTAAGTCGTTCGCAAATTGAACGATCCTCCTGGTTCAGGATTTCTTTTTCTCTCAAATTCCCAGCCTTCAAAATTGCAAATATTCTGTCAATTTGTTGCAAAAATATTCTCAATATTCTCAATTTCTATCATCCCGGTATCCCGCTGTTCTCGTTCAAAGTTGGACGTAAAAGTAGTATAATTTATAAAAACGAGAGGGGATATAAATTAAAAGATGCGTTATCATTTTTGGTCCCTCATGCTGAGAAACTTTCGTACGGCACAGGGTTTCAGATTATAAAATAGACCCATGTTGCACAGAAATTTTATTGCGTGTTAAGTAAAACAAAATTGGTATATTTTTGCTAATAAAGGAATCACAATTGACTTTCCGCATGCAACAATCGATGAAACTATAGTTGCATGTTGAATGTTGCCAACGCGAGCGAGTACATTTATAACATTATAACATTTGTCGAAGGTATTAAGAAGGTATTATTACCAACTGTTTCACGTAAATAAAACGAAATATCGTATAAAGCTATGTGCATGCAGCTACTGCAATATTGGGACTAAAAATGGCCCAGCATGCACTACGGTGCATCGAAAAGGCGGTGCACTTTTAATGCCAGCGTGGCCGAAAGAGTTAAGAGGATACGTGGATGATATTTATCGCGAGGTTGGTTGATATTAATCGGTAAGTAGCTGTTAATTAGAAAGGATGTAAAAGTTACGCGGATGTGGTACGAAAAGATGGAAAATGGCGGCGAATTCACGGTTCAGGAGGCCGAAGAGGCGTATATCGTTAGGGAACGAAATGAACCGGACTGGGTTCCGTTATTTCTCGAGAAGAAGTGACGTCAGTTTAGCAATTGAAAACAGAATCGTCACGAGATCGTCCCGCGCGATGCTCCGGTTCTCGTTAACTTTCTGATTTCACTTCCCTTGCCGCGTTGCAGCGCGGCGCCATCTTGAATATTTCCTCGCCCGTCCACGCGAGCTTTGCTCTGTGGTCTACTTGCGGTCGCGGCAGATGTGTAACGAAATTCTCGAAAAGAATGGGCACTTGAATTTTTTCCATCCATTACTCCGGAAACATTCTGCGGTCTCTGCCACCTGAACATAACGATCCCTGTCTCCGCATCTGTCGCGAGGAGTAAAAATAACAACGAAGCGAAGGAGCTAGAATTCCTGCTCGATAAATAACTATTCTTTCCAGCAAATGCTTCGAGTAATTTTTCTTTTCATGGTTCGAGCATATCCAGTGTGATAAATAATTCGAAATTAACGAGAGGAATAGAGATAACGCGAGGAACGTTGGGATTGGAGAATAAGTATGGATAAAAATAAATATCGATGAATTACGGCTGATGTCGGGACAAAGAACAAGGGAGAGGAATTTTTAGCCCTAAAAACGAGTACGACGATAAATCCCGATGACTGACAGGCCGGTGCACGAGGATAGGAATTTCCACGGAGAAATCAAAAATCTACGACCTATCGGGCAGAATTTTTGCAGCGGAGGACAAGCACGATAAATCTCGGCGACGAGACGCGGAGTAAGAAAAGGAATTTTCAACGCGAAACGAGAGATCGGTGATCGACGCCGATACACAGCGCAAAGAATCTCTGCGGGTGAGATAAATAACGATAAAACCCGATCGATAACGCGATGATGGATAAGGAGAGAAATTTTCAATGGCGATGAGAAAAATGCCCGTCGCGAGACCACATTCCACGAAGCAAACGACCAGCGTGGAAATAATCTAGGGCAACGGCGTTGATTTCCTCGGAAACAACGCGCTCCGGCTCGAATTGGCCTTAACGCAACAGAGAAGCGGTCGTCGTCGTGAAGGAGAGATCAAAAAGTTCGATTGCATTGCGCGCTTAATAGAGCATGCAATAGTAATATGAAAATTTAGATGAGTGGTCTGGTATGCGGGAGATAATAGGGAGGGAAATGGAAATGACATCAGGATTCGAGCCTAACGCGAGCATTAAATTCGTGCCGCGAGTCCTCGACGTTTATCTGGCTAGGTGTCACGCGTTCCAGATAACGTTCAAGGTGCTCCTGCTATTTCTTCCGTTTATTCCCCTCGTCCTCCGCCATATTGCGCCTTCTTTCGTCTGTCAAACGTGTCGTGAGAATTTTCTTCTGTACTCCAATGATCAAAATTCTCTGCGAACGATCTTCTTGCAATATGGCGGCCTATGATCTGAACCTAAATTTCTTCCGTTTATTCCTATCCTTATCCGCCATATTGTATCTTATTTCGTGTATTAGATACGTCGTAGGAATTTTGTCTCGTACTCCAATGCTCAAAATTCTCTGCGAAGGAATTAAGAGAATCGAACAGTCTTCTTGCAATATGGCGGCCCATGATCTGTATCTATATCCGCCATATTGTACCTTACTTCGTGTCTTAGATATGTCATAGGAATTTTTTCTCGTACTCCTACGCCTTATAATTGTGTGCCAATAGACGAAGAGGATGGAACGATCTTCTTACAATATGGCGTCGTGCGATTTATACCTAAATTTCTTTCGTTTATTCCACTCGTTATCCGCCATATTGTATCTTATTTCGTGTCTTAGACATGTCGTAGGAATTTTGTCTCCTACTCCAACACTTAAAATTCTCTGTGAAGGAATTAAGGGAATGGAACAATTTTCTTACAATATGGCGTCGTGCGATTTATACCTAAATTTCTTTCGTTTATTCCACTCGTTATCCGCCATATTGTATCTTATTTCGTGTCTTAGATACGTCGTAGGAATTTTGTCTCCTACTCCAACACTTAAAATTCTCTGTGAAGGAATTAAGGGAATGGAACAATTTTCTTGCAATATGGCGGCCTATGATGTATTCCTAAATTTCTTCCGTTTATTTCCCTCATTATCCGCCATATTGTACCTTCTTTCGTGTCTTAGATACGTCGTAGGAATTTTGTCTCGTACTCCAATGCTCAAAATTCTCTGCGAAGGAATTAAGAGAATCGAGCAGTCTTCTTGCAATATGGCGGCCTATGATGTATTCCTAAATTTCTTTCGTTTATTTCCTTCGTTATCCGCCATATTGTATCTTCTTTGGTTGCTCAAACGTGTCGTAAGAATTTTTTCCGTACTCCAATGCTCAAAATTGTGTGCCAACAGATGAAGATGGAACGATCTTCTTGCAATATGGCGTCGTGTGATTTATACCTAAGTTTCTTTCGTTTATTTCCCTCATTATCCGCCATATTGTACCTTCTTTCGTCTCTTAAACGTATCATAAGAATTTTTTCCCATATCCACTGTACTCGTACTCTTTAAAATTCTCTGGCAAGGAATTAAGAAGATACAACAACTTTCTTGCAAGATGGCGACCTGTAATCTACTCTTGAACATAGTAATTAACCATTTGCATCCATAAAACTTTTCTATGCCATCGATCAATGATCTTAATGGATTTTTGAAACCATTCTAAAGTTGGAAATCTCATTTCGAGAACGAGAGAAATAAAATTATACGCGACTTGCTTTCTAGTTCTTATATATTCGCATCTTTTCACAACGAAGGGATTGCGAAAGAATCGTGTTTATGGGAGAAAATTTTTGAGTCGATGCTCGCTCATAGTCCAGAGATTTTCGAGTGCAAGGAATGAAAGGAGGTTGAAGCATAGCGGAATAGGCTTGCAAGCTTTATTTTCCCGGTGATCGTAAATCATGGATACGCGTTTAAAGGAGTTGCAAGTTTCGAAACAGGTTCCGGATAAGGAACAAAGCTTCAGGGCACTCTTTTCAGGAGTGAAATAAACGAGGCAATTGTGCTGCAACTTTCGAGCAAACAACGCTACTTGGATAGAATTTAGAGAAGAGCTGGAACAAACCAAAAACCGGTTCGTCATCGAAGAAATCTCCTCAGCAGTGAATCACCCAATTGATTCCCTTGAAACCGAGGATCCAACGAAATCTGTCAAACTTAGAGCGAACATCCCCCTAAAAGAACCAACGAATTCACCTAAATCTCCATTAGCCTGCGTACTTTCTCACGAGAAGAAGGTAAGAAGCTAACAAACAAATCTCCGATCAACGATATCCATTTATCCGGAAACTATTTCTCAGCACACGTCGTTGGCCAAGAAAGCTCGAGGCAAACTTCGAAGTAACAGCTACACCCATGGTCATAGTGGAGAAGAAATCTTCAGTCATTTCTCACACGAGTTCTCGATAGATATCGTCGGTGGAAAAAAAAGAGAACTAGGTCGCGTTTACGCGATTCGCCATATCCGGATAATTACCGCGACCGGTATGCCTGTTCGGTGTGGCGTGCTTTGTGCGAACACATCTCGCCACTTGCATCACTTTTACCCGGTTCAGCTATTCTTCCAGTTTTCAGCGAGTTTCCAGCGAATTTCCTCGGAGGAAAACTCTGAAGAAGATCGATGCCTGAGAGAGTGTCGCCATTTTGGACCACGCGTCGGTCGCGCTCAGATGTCGCTAGAGTGAAGTTATGATGGAAGAGGGAAACTGGAGGATCGGTGATGGGTTGTGCCTCGAGAGATATTTTAATTTTGATCGTGCAGAGAGATGGATTGGGTTTGGGACTGAGGAGATGCTGAGGAATTGGGGATGAGTGTTTGGATTGGGAGATTAGTTTGATTTATTGGTCTAGAGATAGGATCTTGATAAATTAGCCTCGAGATAAATTAGCAGAAATGTATATAAAATTCGAGTTTTTGGTTTATTATTTTACTTAGATTTATTATTTCACTTAGAGTGTTTTAGCTTGGTACCTGTCTTTGTGGAATTGTGTTATAGAGGTGTGGTTTCTGAGAGTGATCTATTTCTGAAAATGGAAAAGTTAGGATTTTATTTGAGGACAAAGTGGTAGAGGTCCAGTGATGGTTTGTTGGAATATGGGAATTGGGATTAATAGGAATTTCTGTGGAATTTACTGTGACTGTTGTGGTAGATGCACGTAGACGAGATCGATGGATCCAGTCGATCTGTCGGTTAATTGAGTAATTAACGATGTCGAGCACGGTGCTCGTCACATGGTTAATGCTCGCGTAGTATAGTTGTAATTTAAAGAGGCCTTCGAAACCAGTATTGTGAAACTTTGCGTTCTATTTCCTCACGGCCGCTGATATAATTGAGCTGCACCAAAGAGGTGTAGCGAGCAACCTTGCATTGTGACATTGTCGCTGCACGGGGGCAGCGCTTGCATCGTCGCGAGCACGCCGATTAATAACCGAGCTGTCTGTCTCTCTCGGCCTTTCGACTCCTTCAATTTTTCCTCCGGTATCTCATCAACGTGTGATGGATTGCGTACTCCTCACGCGTAATAAGAACTCGGTCTCTCTGTAATTTTTCCCTTATTAAAACTGCTATTTCGTCTTGAGACAGTCAGAAAAATTGGGAAAATTTTTAATTGAGAAATAGTGGAAATAGAAAATAGGAAACTGAAAAGTTGGGAAGTTGGGAAAATTGAAAATTGAAAGTTTGGAAATTGAGGGAAATGAAAATTAAAAGATTGGGGTATTGGGAAAAATGAAAATTGAAAGTTTGGAAATTGGGAAAATGGATATTAATAAATCAGGGAAATGGAAAATTGGAAAATTGGAATGTGAGGAAAATTGAATGTTTGGAAATTAAGAGAAATGAAAATTGAAAGATTGGGGTATTGGAAAAAATGAAAATAGAAAGTTTGGAAATTAGGAAAACGGATATTAATAAATTAGGAAAATGGAAAATAGGAAAATTGGAATGTGAGGAAAATTTAATGTTTGGAAATTGGGTAAAATGAAAATTACAGTATTGGGGTATTAGGAAAAATGAAAATTGAAGTTTGGAAATCAAGTGAAATGAAAATTAAAAGATTAGGTATTGGGAAAAGTGAAAATTAAAAAATTGGAAAAATGGAAAACAGGAAAATTGAGAAGTTGAGAAAATTAGAAATTGAAAAGTTGGGAAAATAGTCAATAAAGGAATTAGGAAAATGGAAAATTGAAAAAACGAAAATTGGAAAATTAGGTAAATTAAAAATTGAAAAATTGGGGATCATAAAATTTCACGTATCTTCATCAAAGCTTCGCACTCCTGATACCGTGGGCCTAAGAAAATTGTCAAATCTTGTAGCACCTTAATAGTGGAACCATCCCACTATGCTAATTACAATATGGTAATTTTTATAAATACAAAAGCTCAGTCACGTGACCCACATCTAACGCGAAATTATGCTTGACGGTTTCAGGTATTATCAGAAAGAAACTTTCAAGAGGCACGGCCACGAATGCTGTCTCGTCTGAATTGGCTGCAAACGATAGCCCTCGGACTGCTCGCTGGACTGCTGTGGCTAAGGCTTCCCAGAACAGAAGCGGCACTTCACGACATCCAAGGCTGGATGTTCTTCAGCACCACGTACTGGATGCTGTTCGCGCACTTTGGTGCACTCTCCAGTTGTAAGTCTCTTGTAATCCTCCTATATTTATGTGCCTAACTTTAGAATTTCAATAGTGTAGTCTTTTATCCAAGTATACCGTAATTTAACGCGAAAGCACTGAAGTGATAAGCACCAAAGTATCCATGAGTGATGATCCCCTATTTAGGTTTCGCAATACTCATCCCAATAAAAACGCGGAGACATCTTCAACAATTCCTAACCATCTTCTTAACCTAGATACCTAACTTTAAACCTCTTATATAAAACATACGATGTTGCATTAGTGTACCAATCGTTATCATCTTCGCAGCATCGCTATTGCTATGTGAGAAAAAGATTTTCCAAAAATCTCACAGCAAAGTTACACGTTAAAACGTTACATCCTCGTAACTAGCTCTATCTATCTGTGCAAACTCAGTAACTCTTCAGCAAATTGTCTTTAGAATTCTTCAGTTTTACCCTCTTTCATCCCCACTGTGACTTCTCCCTTGTCTCAGCCCTTGGATTAGCTATGGTAATTTAGAATGTTCATCAGCGTGAATGATTGATGTAAATGGTGAGATGAGAGGAAAAAGAAGCTAACCAAAGCTCGGATGGAAAGTTCTCAGGTGGCGGTGGCAGGCCAGAGGCGGATTGCGCAACACGCGGAGAGTGAGATATGAGGTAGATTGGTTAATTGAGCGATGACGATGTGACGCTCTGAATCGGCCATTCAGTCGAACGCTGGTTTTTTTTTATTGCAAAGATTTGCAAAGGACCAGAGGAACGGTCAATCAAGACGTTAGTATGTAGGTCGCGCCGTGACCCACTTGCCCGTAATTGAGGCCCTTTTGTCGACTCGGCTCAGCGCTCGAAACGACCGTGACGAATTTCTGTCGTGTAATCAGGCTGTGAAGCGACTTAGAGATTCGTTGCTAAAAGAAACTCCCGGCGAAACAATCCGCTCCTCCTTCTCTGCGAAGCTTCGAGATCGAGAAGTCGCAGGGGTGAGAAAATATGAAAAAGACATCGCTAACAGCTTCTGAGAGGATGGTTTAGAGTTATTGGCCGACAAGTTCGTGGAAGTTGACTCGTTTTAGCAAGAGACTGCCGTTTGCATGGGTACCTATCCTATCTCGAGTGTTTTCTTGTGTTCGAGAAGAGAGGGTATCGATGTTCAGTGGTTGCTCGTTGGATCTAAGGGTTGTGAGAAAATAGCTACTTCAAAAGAAATTTCTATGGGAATTTTTGTGACGATATGGGACCTACGAATCCCTCATTGAGGCACTGAGCAAACTGTCAAAAGTTTATTGCACACGATGAAGTAGTATCTATCATAATTGACAAGCAGGCTAAATGCATCTAGTCACTAGAACTTGTAACAAGCACCTAAATACAATGTACATACACAGTAGGGATAATAATCAAGATAACATAACGAAAATCACATCTCTATCTCAACAAAAGTCATCATAAATTTCACGAAATCCACACGTGTTCGCTGGCTGAGTGAACAAGATGTCGGGAACCAGTTGCTTTGCCTGGCCCAGTAGTTCCATCATCGCAAACAGCTTCAGAGCACGTTCAACCGTGGATCCCTAAAAGCTTCAGAGTGATCATTCGAAAAGGCATCAGCCAGTCGCAAAACGATTATATAGTGTGCACGAAGATGAACATAGTTCATCTCTATTAATCAACACCGAGGACTATGGCTTCTTTACACGCTGAAACAGCAGCGAAGAATTCCATCGGGGTAACGAGCCAACAAAAACGGAGGAACAATCTGCCTGCCGGATCCAGGTGACAAATCGTCGGGAACAAAGGACAGTGAGCGATAAAACGGAAAAGTTAATAGGCTCGAGACTATTTTAGGAGGCGCATAACTTAACCATAGACCCGGTCGCGAGGCTAGCCTCGCGCGTTCCCCGTTTTACAGTCATCGTCCCTTATCCCCGGAGTAGAAAGTGAAATGGCCGCGGCGAGACGCTAAAAGCGAGCTCGAGAAAGGGACGCCGGTTCGCGACGAGCTGTAAAACCGATTTTAGCATCCTCTTTGATTCCCTCTCCCTTCCATCCCCGGGTTATTCATCCCCTTTCTCGTTTCTTCCTCTGTCCCACGCTCCTAACCTCTCTGTAAGCATCATCCCGATTCAGAAGAAGGATCTTGGGACCCAGTTCATGTTTTGGGAATTTCTCCATGTTTCTCGAGATAATAGCTTCTTGGGGGTTGGTGTCTTTAGGGTTGCACGTGGAACGTTTTAATACTTCCTTTTTCCCTGTCTATCTCCTTTGCTAATTATATTTTAGAGCTTCCATCACGATATAATATGTTTTATATAGGTTAAGATATTTATAGGTTATGTTCTACGTGACACAAGGTTTGTGAGAGATTTTGGACGAGTTGTTATTAAAAATTACCGAATTGTGTTATTATATTTCATATATTAGAAAATCATATATTTGGTCCCAGCGGAACTTAGCTCCCCGGTGGCGCTAGTTGTCACCGGAGCTTTGCCAATTGCCGGTAATGAAATGTTTTGCGATTTAGACGATGATAGACAGTTAGATGATTTTAAAGGAATTGTTAAAAATTACCGAATTTTGTTATTATATTTAATATATTAGAAAGTCAAGTACTTGATCCCAGCGGAACTTAGCTCCGCGGTGGCGCTAGTTGTCACCGGAGTTTTGCCAATTGCCGGTAATGAAATGTTTTGCGATTTAGACGATGATTAGTAGTTAGATGATTTTAATGGAATTGTTAAAAATTATTGAATTTTGTTATTATATTTAATATATTAGAAAGTCAAGTACTTGATCCCAGCGGAACTTAGCTCCCCAGTGGCGCTAGTTGTCACCGGAGCCATACCAATTGCCGGTAATGAAATGTTTCGCTATTTCGAAAATTTCGAAGGTTCCAAATCCACCAATCGATCTCCTGTAAGACGTACATTCGGTGCAGAAAGTTACCGCTCGCGATTGAGTGCCTGTTTACGGTAGCTAATAAATACCGATCCAATTAAACGGAATCGAAATTTCTGTTTCAGTTCCTCCGGAACGCGAGGTAATCAACAAGGAGCGATTGTCAGGATCGTATCGGCTCTCGGCCTATTACCTGGCGAAAATGGTCGGCGAGCTGCCTCTCACGATTACGTTGCCCGCGGTCTACCATATCATTAGTTACCCGATGTTGGGCTTCCACAGTCCGGCAGTTTTCGTCACCCTGCTGGCGTTCCTGTTACTCAACACCGTCGTCGCGCAGGTACCATTCGTTTTTCCCTCATCTTCGCCGCGAGATCGAACGTTCGATGATCATAAAATATATCTAGATCACACATGCGCGGCGATTTCTCGTTTAAAGTCTGACGGTGTGTCCTCGTGTGTGAAAAGTATGAGAAATATGAGAATTGATCGAACAGTGTTTACGTGTCCCGATGGAATCGATCAATCCGGGCTGCGCGAAAATGGCGCCGCGAAAGGGTAGCCATTTGATGGTGGCAATTGGGAAGAGGAAAATGCTTTTCATGACACTTGCAGTTGATTCGAATATCGATGAAATTGACACCGGTGATGGGAAGGAATCGAGAACGAGACTCGTTATCCTGTTTGTTATCCTGCAGCTGCCTGACTACTTGACTGGTTCTCGTAATTATTCGAAACGCGTAGCTAATCTCGACAAAATTGGTTGATATAGAAAATCATATTAAATTCGCCGATATCGGTGTTTTTAATATAAAATAATAGCCACTATTTTTCAAATGAAAATAATCTCACTGAATTTGCATCTATGATATTTTATACCACCATGAGGGTAGTTGCAACTGCGTCTTCTTATTTGCGAAGAATTATTAATTCGTTATAAATTTCTAAATTTATGAAATGGCTTTATAATTTTTATTTCTCGAATTAAGCTTCGAATTAAATCCTGAATTGGAATCGCGATTTTACGACAATTAACTGTCATTCTTTGTTTCAATCCGTTCGGTGTATTTTAGCTGTTCTTTAATTTGCTCTTTGATCATTTTCTCTTTCATCCAGACGGAATTAAATTTCTCTTATTAAGCGACCGGCGCAGTATCAATGGCGGCGCGGCTGCGCAGGATATACTGTCGTAATCATGGCGAATTTCTTTTACCACGGGAAACATAAACAGCAAGAATTTCGCGGTTTCCTTTTTTTTCTCCACGCCTCCCCTTCCCCTTTCCTACGGCCAGCCCTCGACACTGTCCACCTACGGTCAATACTAAGTCATTGTAGCATGAAAGGCGACCGCGATTTACTTTCAAAACCACCTACCTATTGACGGAAATGAGTAACACGCGCGTTTCACAATATGCCGGTGTGTAATACCGCGATCGAATCGATTTCTATAAGTTCACCTGCGACCGAACCTAAACGGTGACGCGATCCAGCACCTTTTTATCATTCCCAGCGATTTTTCAATCCAACCACGAGAATTCCAACATCTTATGGAAGTTTCGTATAATAAAACTCGCATTGCTTTACGAATATTCGTCAAAATATTCCAGAGTCCTCTACCTTTTTATTTTTAAGCTACCATTTTCCTAAATCGCGAGCAGAGCAGTTTAGAATTTTTCTTAAAAGGGTACAAATTTTTAATTTCGGTGAAAAATACTTCTACGAGTTATCAAAGTTGAGTACCATAAGATTTAAGATCGATTTTCTTATGTGAATAAATATAAAAATTTAATAATTTTGAAGTAGACATTTGTTTAGGTTATTATACTAGGTTACTAGAAGTTACTAGAGGCTTATTAGGTAAAATGTCATACTCGTTTCTGATTTCAGAGCGTTGGATTTTTCGTTGGCGCGTGTTGCTTGGACCTGCAAGTTAGCATAACCGCGTCCGCTCTTTACACACTAGCGACACAACTGCTCGGTGGCTATCTGGCGACAGCAGTGCCACCATGGCTGGCGTGGGCCAGATACGCGAGCATGGTGCACTATGCCTATCAGAACATGCAGATCCTGGAGTTCGGCGTCGGCGAGCCAATCACGTAAGTGAGAGCATGAAACATTACAGGAAACACGATCAAATTAATTCACGTTGACCGATTTCTCAAGAAAAAATAATGAAAAATAGAACAATTGGAACATTCTCCTATTTCAAACGAAGAATTGATTATCAGAATTGTATTAAAAAACCAAGGTCACCTTGAATTCTTTACGTAAAAAGCACTTTTTGAAATCTAATAATACAGGATCACTTAGCCCATCAAATACGAAACCAATTTCGTCCAAAATATTTTTTAATTACGCTAAAATTGCTTCGAAAATGGTGACATAACTTAACACTGAACGTACCAAGTGGGGTCAAATGACATCTTTCAAAATTTACTTTATAAATCGTACATTCATTGTTATTTCTGTAAATTCTCATATTATCTGATTGTTTAATTTTTCGCTTTCCTTTTCTCTCTTAATTTATTTTTCACCGAGAAAAATTCTTTGCGTGCCTTATATACCACGAAGGGTCATTTTGACCCTCTATAGTAAGAATAGGTGTGTGTAAAATATCGGTACGTTTAGTGTTAACTTGGACACCCTGTATATAGTAACATTCGTGACCATAATCCTACGTATCGAAATTCTAAAAGTGTACCTATATTTTTAAATTTCTATTTCATTTATTCATTTCCGTGGTTTTCTCTGTGATCTTAATAACCAATGTATTCGTCAAATCGTTAATCGGTATACGTTTCTTGGTCACAAGCAGACAGGTTCCGCTGCAGGATTAACTGCTCGAATTCATTAAACTGGCTTAAGACTCGACGAGGCGAGCTGAAAATCGATCTCCGTTCTCGGTACCTGTTCTCTCTAGGCAACACTAATTAAATTAAAGGAACGTCGCGTATAAATGATAAACGAACCTGAACCGCGACCCGTGCCATGCATCATTCAGCGTCCAAAGTCTAACCGCACTTTGGAGAAGGCGAATTTCTCCGAAGCTCTGTCATATTTGGCACAGAGATACGCGACAAATCGTTAATCGGATTGGGTCGAAGTTGATATTCTCCTCGGTTGTGCGAAATCACAGAGCTGAGATACCGAGAGGAAGACGTTCGTCGAGTATGATCCATGGTTCTAAAGAAAACCGTCAAGTGTCACAGTGTTGGAAAGATTTTGTTACACTCTGTTCGTTAACCCTTTCGCTACTACTGGTGACTATGCCGCCATCTACGTATTATAGATAACTATAGTCATCGGCCACAGAAATTAAGGCAAAAATTAAAACGAGTACTACCCTACCACTTAGCTCTCTACGTAAATAATTGGAAGCACTATTGTAATGGTCAGTTTTTCTTTTTTTTTTTTTTTTTTTTTTTTTTATTTTTCTTTAGAAGACTTGGTTCCGAATGCTAAAGACCGCAAACGCGCAACGTTTCCGTCTTTGGGACGATTCTACGGGAGGAATCCCGCGGTGAAGCCCACCGTAGCGAAAGGGTTAATATCATCGCGAAGTGTATCATGAAGATACCTATCGGAAAAGAAGTATTTTCATTGCTAACGCTTTAACAGCTCTTCGAGACCGACTCGCTGTACCCAGTTCGATACGTATTTACCCAGAACCGTCCATTTTGATCTCCAGATGCTCGCAGCCAAGCAAGTTCCAGGAGTGCAGAAACGCGACGACGATACCGGTGTCCGCGATCCTCGAGAGCCAGGGCGGCGCCAGGGGTTCCGGTCTTCCACTATGGGCAAACACGGCCGTCCTCCTGGCGTTCCTCGTCATATTCCGCACCCTGGGCTACCTGGTGTTGCGCTACTACCGCGTACCCAAGTGAACCGGCGACCGATGAGAACCGCCATTCTACTGCCGCCTCATCCACGAGTGGATCGGCCGCGATCGACGGACGTCGGGACGGCCTCGCCGCTCTAACGAGAACGTCATCGTCGTCATCGTCGTCTGCATCGTCGTCGAGCTTCCCTTTGACCCTTCGTTTCGCCCACGGACAGAGTAGCTCGCGTAACCGAAGCAGAGAAAACGAGAAACCGTGCGCGGAAGTTTATTTTTCCAGGATGCCTCCGGTCGCTCTTGGCCTCGTGACGACCGGGATTGGTGGTGATGGTGGTGGTGAAAAGAAAAGCCCCTGGACCGCGACAGTGAAATGCTCGATCGGACCGATCCCTCGGAGGGAGCTTCCGAGGATTCGGTCGCGTTCCCGCGAACGAAATCCACGTTGATCCCGGATTGGTACCATCTACTTGGAACGATCTCAGACCGGGAATCCCTTTAAGGGAGTCCCCTTTCTGGCATGGAAGCGTTCCGTCTCGCGTGTTAGGTTCAGGTTCAGGCTCACGCGAGCTGCTCGACAGAGATGGAGACCTCGTGATAGTCAGACCCGGAGGATCCGGCTCACCTGTCCGCCAATCTCTCTCGCATGAACTCTTTTCAGAACCACCTGCCAGCCGATGATACCGCTATTTTAATTACCGAGCGTTTAGCCACGACTATTTTTATTAATTGTACACGCATCTTCGCAGAATAGAATACCTCAGACAGACAGGGAACCAGCGACCTAAGCGAAACGAGGGGTTAAAAAGAGAGAGAAAGAGAGAGAGAGAGAGAGAGAGAGAGAGAGAGAGAAATAGAGAGTACGTGAAGGAAGGGTTGACGGAGAGCGCGAGAGGAATCGGGGGTTTCCGCTCGTTTCCGCTAGCGGCCGGCGACGGAAGTACGCGCGAGGACGCGTCACCAAGAGACTTGGCGAAGACTATACATAAGATTGTACACGTAGAGACTTTATATATATATATATAGATAGATAGATATACATACATATATCACGCTATC